AAATGGCTCAAGTAAGGGTACAACAAAAGTCATGAACTCCAAAACACAACCCCTTTTTTTTTGAAGCACAAAAACATTATTTTTTTAACTCCAAAAAAATATGAGTTCAACAAAATTGAATGATAGTAGACAAATCAATAATTTTGGGAACAAAAATAATAAATGTGTTCAAAAAAACTTTTATTTAACACAAGGAAATAAATAGCTCGCTAAAGTTGCCGCTATTTGAGAAATAACTATTTTGGCAGCGTGCCGCTATTTGTATTCATGTGCAATTTAGCCGCTAAATCCCGCTAAATCTCCGCTATAACTACAGTGCCATAAACGTTTTAGCCCGCTATTTAAAACTTTGATTTAACATAATAAAAAAAACAACAAAATCAGGTTTAGGTTAATGTACTTTTTTTTTTTTGGTACAAAGAAGATATTCAAAGGACTAGTCTAGAACACAACGTGGGTATGAGACTTCAACAATATCATGCTCAAGCCATGCCAGGAGGCGGAGAGGAGAAACGATGCAGTCCAAGCGGATAAGATGCCGCCAAACTCGCCAAATGATCAGCTGTGAAATTTGCTTCTCTATGAATATGTTGCACACGAACGATCCACTCCCGCTTTATAGGTCTTGGATAGTCTTGACCATAGCCTCATGCGCCCCCAATCCACCATCCTCATTCATCACCATCCTCGTAACACATTGGCTATCAAGCTCAACGATAACTCGTCGAAAGCCCGGATCTCAATCCAATAAAAACCCCTGGAAAAGACCCCATAGTTCGGCTCCTGTGATGGTGCAAGCACCAATATTCATGATAAATCCCGTGTTCCACCGGCCCGCGGCATCCCGGATCAGACCACCTGCAATACTTAGCCACGATTGGTGGCTAAAGGCCCCGTTCGTATTTAATTTCAGCCAACCCGGGTCTGGAGGGACCCATCGGATCATACGTGTACTATAGGTGGTGGCCCCAACTGTTTTATAGTCCTGCACAGCCCGAACATAAGAGGTCGCCATGCGCATGACTTCTAGTTTGCGAGCCTCGTCACTAAGGACTGAATTCTTAAATATCCGAGCATTACGCCACGTCCACAAGCGCCAAACTGTAACCGAGAAAATGCAGGCCCAATTATCAAGAGACCCCAGTCGTTGCTTCTTGAGATTTGAGTAGAGCCACTCGGTCAGTGGCAGGTGGTAGAAATCTCCTACAGATGCGGCCCCAACAAGCAACTTCCACACCTTCTTCGCATCCGAGCAGTCCCTCAAGACGTGGATAGTGGATTCATTCTCGCCACAGAAACCGCACGTCATGGAATCCGTCATATGGCGCCAGAATCGCTCAACATTTGTTAGCAAACGATTATTAGCCGCAATCCACAAAGTCATACGTGCTCGCTGCGGGGCCGGAGCATGCCATATTAGTCTCCATAAATGGCGGTACGGACTGCACACAT